GGCGCTGGCCATGGCGCTTGGCTGCCGGCCATTTCTTCCATGCCATCGGATCTGCTGGCCGAAGGGCGACCGTACTTCTTCCTCCCAGCTATGGAGCCAATTGGGAGGCAGTGCTTCTTCGACATGGAGTCCGCGGCGAGGTGTCGTGGAGGCTTTGCCGCACCAAGTGGTGTTGTCCCCGGCGGTGGCAAGGTTGCATCCGTGACGAAGGTGCTTTAGACCCGATCGCGTTTTTCATTTGGTTGTGGGGGTCCTCTTTGTAAAATGCAGGGACCAGTGTGTTATCTAGGTTTAGTTCGGGGTCCTTTTGCATATTGCTATGTACCACCGCTGTTTTACTACTAATGCAGTCTCGGGTCCTTCTGGACCCCTCTCTCATTCAAAAAAATAAAATAAATACAAATGAGCTATCTTATACTCCCTCCGTCCCATAATATAAGAACGTTTTTGACACTTGTGTAGTGTTAAAAACACTCTTATATTTTGGGACAGAGGGAGTTCATATTAAGCCCGAAAGTATTGGGCTAGACCAAAAGTTAGTTTCGGCCCTATCTATTTAAGTTAAGTTAGATTTGACGTTTTGAACGAGATTAAAGACTTTTCTTGTATGAAAGCTTATCCACCTTATATCTGAAAGACGACGACCCATTGAAACAAAACACAATCGTCAAACGCATTTGTCACTATTACTTTTCCTTATTTTTTCTTCCTCCTCGCTCTTTGTGTTCGAGACAGTAATCTATGATGCTCTAGGGACGATCAGATCCACCTACGGTAGCCTATAATGGCCGTACTCATGGGATTTTTTTTGACGAAATACAGCCAGATGCTGTTTTTCATTCATTAAGAGGAATAATCCATCCGGGAAATACATGAGAGCAAGGTGTACCAGAGTTGTTGGCACCCTCAACCAGGAACTTTACATATGTAGAAAAGAGAAAAGAGAAGGGAAAAAAGAGAAAAACTAGGCTATTGTGCCAGCCACTGTACGCCTTCGACACCAGCCCGAAACCAAGTGTGCAACTCGTCAGTTATCACGTTACAGGTTCCCATGAAGTCGGTGTCTTTGCCATTGAAAATTCTGTTATTTCTCTCTTTCCAAACCTGCCACCAGATGATCATGCAAAGAGATGAGAATTCTTTCTGTCGATGCAAAGGAATATTGCCCAGAATGTGAATCCACCATTGGATCAAAGAGTTAGTATCATAACTTGGTCGGGGGTTAAATCGATATCTGAATTTGGTCAGAAAGAAACCCCATACAACAGCAGTGAACGGGCAAGTTCCAAAAAGGTGAATAACAGACTCCAAACCAATGCAGCACAGTGGACACACAGGATTGTGTAGCCAATTTCTTTTTGCGAGGTTATCTGCAGTTAGGCATTTACCTTGAATGGCGAGCCACACAAAGAACTTCACCTTTTGTGGTATCTTGATCTTCCAAATAAGCTGTGAGAGAGGGGTGTAAATGCGGCCAATGAACTGGCAATGGTATGCAGAGTTAACAGAGTAAATCTTGTTGGAGGTCCATTTCCAAATGATTTTGTCATCGGCTTGGGAGAGCACCACCTGGTCAGCACGATGCCAAAAGTCCAAATACTCAGCAATCACTTCAACGCATGGGTTTGGTTTAATCAAGGTGACCCAAAATCTGTTGTTTATACCCTGAGAAAGAGTGATGTTCCTCCTTTTACTATGTTTGAAAAGTTTGGGGTAAGCCAAGGAAGGGGAGATCCCATCAAGCCAGTGATCATGCCAAAAATATATGCCAGTGCCGCTGCCGATCTCCCAGGACATAGATGCACAGAAAAGATTCTTGATCTCCTTGTCGATAGGTAGGGGTAGCCCATGCCAAGGTTTGTCAGGACAGGAAGCATTCTGCCAAAGCCATCTCACTTTCAAAGCCTTGCTTTGTCTGTATAAGTCATGAATTCCCAGACCACCAAGTTCCAGGGAAAGCAAACCAGAGACCACTTAACTAAACATTTGCCTCCACTGACCGAGTCTGAACCAGCCCATAAGAAAGCCCTTCGCAATTTATCAACCTCTTGAAAACCCATTTGGGTTGTTCCACTGCCAGCAACTGGAAGATAGGCATGGCAGAGAGCACAAATCTTACAAGAGTGACACGCCCAGGAGTAGAAATCCATCGAGCCTTCCACCCAGCGATTTTCTTCATAATTTTTCCAATGAGAAGCTGCAGATCTTGCCATTTGAGCCTCCTACCAGACAGTGACATCCCAAGGTAAGTACAAGGGAAACTACCAAGCTGACATCCCAGTGCAGTCTGAATATCCGAGAGGTCGATGTGCTCGCACTGGATGGGAATGATTTTGCTCTTAACCATATTAGTCTTCAGACCAGTGGCATTGCCAAAGAGGTTCAAAATTTGAGAGACGGCATAAATCTCTGAGAGTAGTGGTTTGCTGAAGATAATCACATCATCGACATAAATGGAAGCCCGGTGTCTAATAGTTTGTGTACCAAGCGAGGCTAGGACACCATGAGCTTGTGCTGTATTCATCAATCTACCAAGACAAAAAGAAGGGGGAATAGGGGGTCCCCTTGTCTAAGTCCCTTGCGATGCAGAATCTGATCGGTAAGTGCCGAATTAACCAAGACCTTGGTGGATGAGGTAAGGAAAAGAGCGGAAATCCAGTCCCTCCACTTCGGCCCAAACCCTCTAAATTCTAGTAGGCTGAGAAGGAACTCCCAAGACACAGAATCGAAAGCCTTGGCTAGATCTAACTTGAACATAATCGATGAATTTTTTTTGTCTGAGCACCTTTGCCATGGATTGCACATATACAAAGTTGTCATGGATGCTTCGACCCTTTATGAAAGCATTTTGGCATGGGATTTCAGCCGAATGTGTGGAGTTTCGGGTTTCAAAAACCTTGTGGACGTGTGTTGTGCATCACTCTTAGCGAGGCTTCTTCGGTGACGTGTGTTGCGTACGAGATAGTACACGGTGAGCTACCGGCCGACTGAAGCCAGCAGTCCCTAGAAACTGGATAATTCCGTTGGGGTTCAACCGTTCAACACTTCCGCGTCCCATCGCCGGCTCGTCCCTCTCTCGAACCACCCATCGCCCCAGCCGTCCTAATCTCTCCTCTCAAGCCGTAGCCCCGAGTCGACTCCCCTCCTCATCCCAATTTACCAAACCCTAACCCTAGCAGCTCGTCCCCTACCCCACCCAGCGCGCGCGCGGCCGCCGTGGCGGGCGACCGAGGATGCCGTCCGGGTCTACGCAGTTCCGGTACACACAGACGCCGTCCAAGGTGCTGCACCTACGGAACATGCCGTGGGAGAGCTCTGAGGAGGAGCTCGTCGAGCTCTGCAAACCATTCGGCAGGGTTGTGAACACCATGTGCAACGTCGGAGCCAACCGCAACCAGGCCTTCGTGGAGTTCGTAAGGCGCCCTTCCTCTCCTCCTCCGTCTCACCCCCGCCCTGTCCCTTCCTCTGTTGCGATTTTGCCTCGTGGCGGGTGCTGGCTGGTATTTTGATGAATAATTCACGTTTGTTGATGCGATGTATGGTTTATTCATGTGATTGCATCTAGGTATGACACTTCTGCTTGGGGTCGATTTTAGTATCAATCAGTGGCCGTTTGATTGCTAGATTTTGTGGGAGCATGATCTATTGGAGGAATTTCTTGTTGATACTTATACTGTCCCGTGGTTGAGGCAGTGCTGGCTGACTGTCAGGGCACTACTATATACACGACTTGGTGTTATTTGATTTTTAAATTTGGGGTTGATTGTTTGCTGCAAACCATGCGTAATCTCCAACGGTGGTGTGCCTCTGTTGAGCGAGATGCATACAACTTCATGTCTTAGGTGAGAAACGCTTTGTTCTTACCGGTGATTGCAGTTTATGTTTCATTCGCAATCTTCTCTTCCGTGTGTTAAGTATCACATGTATCTTGTGTCTAATCTGTATCCAGTCAAATACGAGCCATACTTTTGCGAGTTTCTAACTATCTGAAGGTACTTTCCTTGCTTGTTGGCACATGTGGAATTTTGATGTATTGGAATAAAAGATAATTTTGTTTGCCATACCAAAAAAATCCATGTTCTTCTACCATGGCCATTTCGTTTAAGTAGGTTTGTCGATTATGGACAGATTTGTGTTTTTTTTTGCGACTACGCAGGTTGCGTATGAGCGTATCTTTCCGTTGATAGAAGGGTAGAAATTACAGGGGCGCGAACCTAGATGCATAACAAGGTGCAGTCAGGGTCGCAAGTGAAGCAGACAGGCAGACAGAACGGGGATG